TTATTATGTATATTATATGTGTATGTCTACGTGTGTCTGCCTTCCGTCGGAAACTAGCAGAATGCTCTGCAAAATTGATATCCAGGCTTTGCTGAAATAAGTGAAGCTGACGGCGGTGTATGGTTTTTCGATTGCGTTTGTACCTTACGCTGCCGAATATGCAAGTAGGTGACCGGTAGTTCAATTGTGAAGCGATCTTCAATTGTATGAACTGATACTTATTTGATCAATCTTGATACCGTCTCATCATTTCTATTATTAGAATCTGCAGATCTGGCATACACTGGAACTAGAAATACTTTCTTGTTTTTGTTTAATGTAATTTATAATATTGAATTGTACTACACAGGCACGCCGGAAGCTGAAGGCCGGTATGAACACAGTGCTCTCAGTCACACGCATACGCCGCAGCATCTCGAGAGAAGTCCTCAGCGATGCGCAACAAGAGGCCCAATTAGCGCATGTCCTGGAGCAGAAGGAAAAGGACCACTCAAGCACAGACCAGGACAAAAGTCAGGGGGATGGCGAGGATCAAGACGGTAGTAGCGGCAAGGGAGAGGGGTCTGATGACCTGTGCACTGAACCTGCCGTCAGTAGTGTGTCGGTGGATGAAGGTTTGACCTTCGAGACTGCGGAAACCACCAGCAATGCCTAGTGCGAGTCATAGAAAACACTAGACACGGCCGAGTGCATCGTTCCGGTTTAATATATAGGGAGCTAGGGAGCACTAGCCCGTGATGTAGGTAACGTTTGAAGGACCAACAAGGACGAGCAGGCCGTAACAGTAGCAGCACATAGCTTGCCATGCGTTGGTCTGTCTATATGACTGGCATAGCATGGGGCAGTGTGACAGGTGTCTATGTCTATTATGAGTTGTGGTAGGGAGTGTGCATACGGTGTACGCAAGAGCAGGCGCAGACGAAGGAGGGGTATGTGCGCGGTTTGGTTAAACCGCAGACTCCGGGCGATTCATGCCGACATCGGGGTTGGGATATCTAGGAATTGCCAAGTGTGTAGGACTGTGCTAGTGGGTATACCATTGTAGTACTGGCTAATAGGTGCTGAAGACTAGAGTAGAGGGACGCTGGGCGGTATCAGGTGGCCGTGTGCAATGTGTGCATTCGTTAATGGTCCAGTTTTTATTACAAATTGACCCGGACCGGACTTAATTCATGAGGCTACACCATCGGACGATGGTCCGTCGAAGTTCAGGGTGGCCGAGAATACATATATATATGGGCCTGGATATTACCTTGCACACGGGTATCCATCTGTAAATTGGATATAGACCTGCTTACGGTTATATTATGAAGATTGAAGATGGGAGGGACGTGTAGTCATGTACACGGTTTCCCATACGAAGGAAGATGGTAACAGTCAAGCACACTGTTGTAGATATGGAGGATGAGTTGGGAAGGGTACACCGTCACGGATCTGGAACTGGACTGGCTGTTATGTTTTATACTCAGCTTGATTCATGTATTATACTCAGCTTGAATGGCCCGGAAAATACGACTTGGCGCTTGTAGCTACGGGTGTGCGGGTGTGCTTAGGGTGTGGGTGTGAGCGCGGATGGCGCCCGCTGTAGCAATGCCGTACTAACAACTGTACGCTTGGGCAACACAGTGCTAGCAATATGCCCATCAGCGATGGCGTCTGGTGACGGGTATTCAGATTTGCAACTCACAAATGATCGTAGAGATTCGGCGGGAAATGTCGGACTAGCGCGATACGGGCTAATTTATATTAAACCCCAAACCCTAAAACCTTATAATCCTAAAACCCTATTACCCTATACCCCAAAAACCCAGCACCGAGAAGCGACAGTGTTACACGTATTGTTCTCCAATACGTCGTGACAAAGGGCACGCGCGGTCTTAATTTTGGGACAGAGAGTACAGAACATGCCCATGACACGCGCCAGATCTATTTATAGAACGCTTGCATAGAGGCATGGGCCAACAATATCTAATCGTGCGCAGGAGTGTGCGACTGCCGAGACGGTTGACACCAGGTGCTGTGGCGGTGTCTGCTCGATGGTACCGAGAGAGTAGTGAGTCTGCGATGAGCGTTCATGTGTGTGCCCGACATGCATTTCCCGCCACTTCGATAATACATCCATGAACAATGGGTCTATGAATACGTTTGTGGATATGCATACCCATAATCATTGTTTTCTCCTATTCCTCAGGAGGTAATTGATTACAATCTTGGGTTAAAATTAGACCGCGTCCAGGGTTGCTTGCTGGCATACAGAAACAGAAGCGCACAGGCTTTCCGTGAGCAACAGCAATACAATTATCGGACTAGACATATTTGAATAAAATTAGGATTCTGACACGGGCTTTATTTGATCTTTAACATATGACAGCAAAGAGGTCTGAATGCGTTTATGGGATCTACTATGTACATCGATAAGCACAACAGGTGATGCTCTGCTATGTTGAAGAATATCAGTGTCAAAGTTACACACATATATGTATACATATATTAATATAAAAATATACAATTATACATGTACATACATACATACACACATATATATAAATATATATATACATACACATACACACACACATATATATACATACATACATACACACACATATATATATGTATATATATGATATATAAAAACTCGATACTAAATATTACACAGCACAGACTACTGAAAGCAACAGGGAACATGTGACGGGAACAGTTTTTATTTTTTCACTCGTTGTAGGTCATTTGTTACCCAATTGTGTGTAAGCTATCATATCATGGGTGTTTGGTTTGTCGATCATCGGGATATGCATGTCACAATGGATTCAAAGCTTTCATGTATGCATCGTTGTGGCCGAAAGGTGCGTCCACTAACATGCACACGTACATGTATCATACTATCTATGTAAAGACATGTATACTACCACGTATGTACACATACCCTACCATGTTGATGTTCTACCACTATGTGTGCACATCGCTTGTCGCTGTTAAGTATATACACTGCTATGTGCGCGGGTAACAGGGACCATCTCATCGACCAAGTAAACGCGCTCAACAACAGATTAAACTAATGATAAAATCATCTTTTAACTGGTGTGAGACTCTCATGATCAGAATATTGAACAAGTTCATGGTGTGGCATGTACACATGTATGTATACCATACATATGTATATACCTATACATTTATGAACATATATTTTAAAAACTATACTTGCATGTACATGTATGAATATATATTTTTAAAACTATAATTGCATGTATACGTATGTATATATGTACATATATGTACAAATACTTGCACATGTATGAATACATACGTATAAATCTATAATTGCATGTATACACATGTATAAATGTATACATAAATATATATACTTGTACATGTACTGGTGCGTGGCTTCTGAATCGTATCGGGTTGCCATCCGCATTAATATCGATGTGCTAGTGTCGATGCCTTCCCACCACATCTGCCAGGCATAGCCCCAGGTTACTCTACATTGCTAAATAACCACAGACCAGTATCCAAGTGGGCATGCCTGCCAAACAAACGTGCCTGCAATCGACTAACCAATCCGTCACCTCCTTTGCACTCGAGCCCATCTGCTCCTACAAACGGGTCAACCGCATGCGTCTATCTCCACATACCACAACCGCATGCGTCTACCTCCACATACCACAACCGCATGCGTCTACCTCCACATACCACAACCGCATGCGTCTACCTCCACATACCACAACCGCCTTACAGACACACCGCTCCACGTCTCGCCCACCATAGTACTGCAGCCGTACTACACGTGTCCATACTATATTTGTCAATACTATACTTTATACACGCTCTGGCACGGACTGTCACCCTATGTACTCTGTCTTGTCTGTAGCCGGGAGAAAAAAAAACGCAAACCAGCCTCGCCATGTACCCAAGCAACCGCCCCTGTTGTGCACACCTAAATGTTCGGTACATGATATACCATGCGCTTACCATCTGTAGATATGTGGTCTACTCAGGCCACAGCCAATGCTTGATTGAACTTCCCCTATGACTCACTCCTTCCCAAACATAGTCGCACGCAGATACTTAATACTATGCCAGGCATATACTCAGCCAGCAAGGTGATCTAGCTGTCCTCGGGCGGATAGGGTACACACAATAACGCCTAGCTCTTATATCTTTCCCTGTAGTATATCCGTGATACAGACGAACCCAACACAGTCCCAGTTCATGTTTCTCCTATCGACAACGACCGGAATCTGAGTGAAATTGAAAGACGACAGAAGTGAGTGATGAATTTGTGTATACACATATAGTATACACACACACACTATATATATTTGTATATGTATACATACATATATATATATACATACATTTGTATCAATATATCAATATATCAATATATATATATGTATGAAAATATGTATGCACACACACACACACACACATATATATATATATATATATATATACATATATAACACACACACACACATATATATGTAT